AGGAGAAGGGGGATAGGTGAGGATGCTGGTGGTGGTTTTTATATATGGCTTTTTTTGTTGTTGTTGTTGGGATTTTTTTTTTCACCCTTAACCATTTAAGCTGTCTCCAGACCATGGACATCTGGGATTGGAGTTAATTGTGCATGGGCTGTTAACTGCAGAATATCAAGKTTTAATAAAGATAAAGTTTCCTTCAGCAGGTGGTTTTGTCTTCCCCCCACATTCATACCAATATGACTTTGAGGTTAGAAGGTCTTCAGGCTGCTCTGCCTCAGATAGCATTTCCACTCTTCAGTATATAGGAAAAGGTGAAGAAAATCTTTCTGTTTGAGTTTATTTAGGAACTGTTCAAATCCTTGTGAAAGTATTTTCCTAGATRCTCTATTGTAGCCAAATTACAGGACAAATTGTATCTTGTATATCTCTCAGACAAGAGCAAACCATTGGTATTCCTTCCCATGCAGTTGGAATACTCTCACAGGATGGTTAGGGAGGAGTTTGAGTAGGGAGAGCTCATTACAGCTCATTTCTTTTCAGCTGAGTAAGAAGGATTTATTAGGAGAAATAAATGTGCAAATGTAACAGCTTTATTCAGATAATGGAGGATTTCAAGTGTTTTTGACAGTGCAGATCACTAACTAGGATTAATAAGAGTGGGATACAAATCATCCTTAATCTAGTTAAGGGCTTGTAGCAGCTTGTGGCAAAGCCAGTGGTTTTGCTTACCTCMAAGAGCAATTTGAGAAAAGCTCTTTCCTTTTGCATGTATCAAATTAAATAAATGTGGTTCCCGGTTTGGGCAGGGTTAGATCAACTAATCAACTACAAATCTCCACTTCATGAGAGCGCTTCAGATCTGTGCTGTAGCAGGAAGGAGCTCTGCTGATGGGAGAAGCACAGAAATACTCATGTTTTGAGACTCTGACCAAGATGAAGACTGAAGAATGGTTAAAAATGATACTTCAAAAAAAAAAAAGTCTGGTCTGTCAGACTTCTGGATCCAATAATATTGCTAATGAGTTGTGAAAGCCTGGCCCATTGTTGATTAAATTGAAGATGCCACTAAGCAGCTTTCTGGTTGTCCCAGCAGAACTGAATAACTATTGTTCTGCAACAATACAGTGCTCAGCAAGAGCAGAAGCTAACACTCACCCCAGGGTTTTCCCCTAAACAGACTGCTTTGATCCTTGGGGAAGGGGGTCTTCCACTGGTTAATGAGAACTGGTAAAAGCATATCAAAAATACTGTTAAAAATTTTATCCCTCACATGTGACTGAATTCAGTGACAGTGAATCAAAAGGACTGCACAAGTATTTCCAACCAGTTGTCTGAACTGCTAAAAAAACCCCAACAAAAGCATACAAGCTTGTTAAGTGGTAAAAAAGCAAATGTTGTCGGTACACTGTAAGAATTTAAATGTTTTTTAACTAGTACATGAGATACTATAAGAGATCCTTTAAAGGGATGCACTGAAAGGTAGAGTAAGCGTGTTTTAAGCTGGAATTTATTTTCAGCTCTTTTGTATGATAGCACAACCTGGTGTTCTGTGCCCTTAATCCTCTTGGCTAATCAAAACCATTCCCATTGGTGTAACTCAGCTTCGATGAAAGGTCATGGAAAAGCCTTGACCATGAGGTGTTTGTTGTTCAAACAGCATGGTCTGTCTTCCTGATGCAAACCCAAATTAGTTCAGTCCCTTCCGACGCTGTCCTGAGTCAGTGTTTTCTAACCCTGCTGTGTCTGAAATCCTTCAGGAGCAGATCATTACAGAAACATGGCCTTTCTGCCATASTGGTATTTTATGGAGGAGGTTACTGTCTCTTATGCCCATTGAAGCTGTAATTTATGGAGCAAGAAATGTARTCCTTATATAACCATCCAGTTATGTAAAGTGGGCAAATGTTCCTTAATGCTTGTGTGTTGTGAAATTGGATGATGTYACCAAGTTACAGCACTTTGTAGGTATTCTGACTGATATCCACATGTACATAATCCTGTACTGGCCTCGAGGATTTGGGCCAAAGAAAGTTCCTCTCGGACCCCAAGCCTCAAACTGCCTGGTCAAAGGGGGGTGCCACAATTCCCAGAGGAGCAGCTGGGACATGGGACAGGACTCTTTGGGACATGTAACTTCACTAATTTCTCATAAAACTGTGGAAAGCAGAGTTTACTGATCCTGATTCATGTTTTCTGTTATTCTCTTAAATGTAGCAGCCAAACTCAGGGCACTCAGACTGGTTTGAGTCTGCCTTGGTGTTTGCAGGGTGGGTGCTGAGCAGCTCCGGACAATCCTACACAGGAACACCATGGCTCTCCACTGGTTTAGGCTGGGCTGCACTGGGTTTCGCTCCTCTGAGGAGGACCTCACTATCCCTGCTCAGATATCAAAATCAAACTGGGAATAGAACAGGTACATAACAAAGGCTGTGGAGAAGCAAAGCTTGCAGCAGTCTGTGAAGAGGCCCAGAGCTCAGGTGTGAGGAGAAGCRTAAGGGGAGAGGGGCTGGACATACTTGGTATGAAAAAAGGAAATGTGGCATGAATGAACAGTCTCACCTTTTAATCCCAMAAGGGGAAGGGGTGCAGGCTCAATAGTCAGGATCAAGAGTTGCCATTTTATTTCTTGACATTCTGTGCTCTTTTCAGGAGGGTTGTTGAGGTCTGCAGACAATCAGTTTGTCCAGGTGTTGTTATAAATTCATATGAGCTRCCCCTGAATATTCAGGTTTGAGGGGAAGGTATTCTCATTCCTGGCTGAAGGTGTATGGTGATACAATCTTAAGCTGTATCAGTAGTCCCTTACTTCAATAAAAAGCTGGAGAGTTTGCTTTCTAGCTGCTCCAGGGAAGTCTTCCACCTGGGAGGAGAATGCAACCCTCACCTTTAGCAGCATGTTCTCCTTTTGCACTCAGTCAGGCTGAGTGGAAGAACAGAGGGTTGTGCTTGCCACTGCTGGTGTGAGAAGTGAGCGAGAAAAATGGTCCCAACACCCCCATYATCAAAAATGGTGCAATTTTCAAAGCCTCGCTTATCTCTGAGTGTACTGGAAAGGGCGCGCAAGGGAGCCGAGTTTGGGCAGCCTGGCTGTAATTTCTTTATTCTTTATGCACCAACAGTTCGTACTCTTTAATATTTGAAGTGTAGTGAGTTCAGCCTGTGTGAGTCACCGCCCTTCCACACAAGAAGGAAAACACACGGGAAGTACTTATCTGACCTACTTTCCATGGAAGGGTGCAAAAGCACAGTGCAAACAAGCAGGGACAAATCCAAAAATCCAAATTACCTCATGGCTTGCAGTTAAGCAAGAGATCGAAGGGCAATTCACCCTAGAAATGTGCTTGCAGAAGCTTAAGGTTTGGGGTTTTGGGGTTTTATTTTCAGTAGGGAAGGCAAGTGCTAAAAAAATTAATGTCCATATAAGGGGGATACTGTTCCTATTTTCTTGTTACTTAAAAAAAAAAGTCATATAACTACAATAATTGCCTAGAAAGTGTAAGATCTTTGGGGCTGAATAGGTTGGTGGCCACTTGGATCCTTGTCTTCAAAGAGGTGGAATCTAATGGGCTAATTAACATTGGAAACTAGTTGTTCTGTGGAAGTGTGGGGAATGGGGAAGGTATCAAGGATGGCAGAGAAAACTGGATAAGCCTGGTATCTTAGAAAGAAAGAAAAGGAGATAGGRCCAATAAACACATCCATTGTCATTAATAAAACAGCAACAGAGCTGGATTGCTTGTCAGTACATACTAGGGCTGGCAAACTTCTTCCTGGGGTGAGATGAGTGTTATATTAATTTTTAAGTGATGCTGTGTTAATGGAAGCTAGAGAAATGCATTGGGCCTGGTTGCAAAGCTGACAAGAAYGTCCTGTTGTCCAATGTATGTCTTATTTTTGCATAATAAAATGAGACCTTCCGCTCCTTGGGATCACTGGGATTCCACAGCTTGGATGATTCAATGTGGCATCCAAACTTGAGGATGTCAGTGGTGGAAAAAGRTGACAAAGGCAACTTGAGAATGGAATAGGAGTCAAAATTTGTGAAAACAGGGAATGTAGTTGGATGTCAAAAAGATGAAATTTGGAAGAAGTAACTTAGAGGGCTTTGGTTTGAAATCTAAGAAGGGGAAATGACGGGTTAGGTAATGGCAGCTCTGCAGAAATAAACCTTGGGCTGGTCTGAGCTGAGAGCCAGGCATGTTGTACTGATAGGAGCAGTGAGTGTTTACAGCACAGRCCAACAAAGTGCATGAAGTAATCACTCTGTAATTAGTAAATTAGTAAACACTAAGAGTGTTGTCATTTTTGGAGAGCCTGAACAGCTTTGAATGTTGTGTGCTGTGACAAACAAGTGCCACAGAACAGGGGTTCTGCCTCTTGTTTCAGCAGATGGATTTCTGTGCTGGTTAGTGTACTCTTTGGAGTGTACATGGAGAAAGTTTAGGGCTTATGCTCTGACAGGGAAGGCTGGTTTCTTTCTCTGGACTTATTTTGAGTGCCCACACTTAATAAAAAGGGGCTTTGATTCTCCTTCCAGCTAGGTGCTGTAGTTCCAGATATGTGAACAGTGTTTGAGTCAGAAAGCGAAGGAAGACAAACTGCTTTTCCTCCCTTGGGTTTCTGCTCTTCAGAATTGATGCAGGGATTTGCAGATGGAGTGGTTGGTAGATAGGGAAGACACGAGCAGCCAGCACCCAAAACAGGCTGGTAAGGACTGAGCATTGCCTGCTGCCAGGATGCAGCACTCAATGGATTCCTTGCTTTCTTCCTTCCCAAAGCAAGTGCAGCCTGGAAGCAGCGCAGACAAGGGAGACAGCAAGACTGACATTTCCAGCACCAGAGTAATCACTGGGACTCTTTTGGGTACGGGGCAGGACTGAAGGAAGTTGAAAAGTGCAATCTGAACAAGGAAAATTCGTGCGACCTACATGAGCCCTGAGAGGAAGCTGTGCAAGCAGCTTTAATCTCACTACTGACACATCTTTTTGCTCTTCTCTTTAAAGCAAACTACAAATCTGAACCTTCCCCCTGAYGACCTTGATTCATCTGGTGATGAAGATGACACATTCTCAGGTTCAGGTGCAGGTGAGTTATTAGCACTTGCACTGTTRGTGCTTGATCCTTCTGGAATGTGGCAATTGAGATTTCCATGAACACCCAGGTGAAGGGAGAGGGAGGAATCCATACACACACCCCCATCCCAGAATATGAGAGCTGGGAAGAGAGAAAGAGCCTCATCTATTAATCTTGTACTCCTTGAGATAMTAACAATTAGTAGGAAATGAGCTGTAGGAGACCTGAAAGGGAGCAGATGCAGAGGTAGATTMCATGCAGCTGCTAATGTGAGATGCTGTGTGAAGAATGTTATGAAATTGGAGAGATTCTTTACTTGTGGGGAATTAAAATCATAACCAGGGCATTTATGAGCTGGTAGCAGATAATGTTTGAGGGTGTGTAAGCCCCAGCCTGCGAAAATGTATCAAGTGCAGACTTTATCTGTCATCAGAGGTGCATGTTCCCATGGGCTGTGATTTTTTATAAGTGATAAAGGGGGTTTAGGGTAGGGAGAAAAGTCTGTCAAAGTGCTTGCTGAACTGCATGAGAAAGACCTTTTGGTGTTCAGAGCTGAGGTTGAGGGGCTGYTAGTGAGAAAAGAGCAACCCATTGAAAGCCAAAGCATGGTATCCTGCTGCTTCCTTCCAGCCACAGGCTTGTATTTCAGATTAAACTCTGCAGAAATAAAGACCCTGAAATCAGTGCCAAATGTGGTAGAGACTGAAGGTGTGACTGCTCTGAATCAAATAAAAGTGTTTATATGGAAAAAGACTCAGATAATCACCCTGAGGAACCAGTGTACTGAAAGCAGATTTCCCTTGTCAACATCACTACAAATAGACAGGCACTTTTGCCTTGGGGAGTAGAGGATGACTAACAGAGTATTGCTGAATAGCAYATTGGTCTGTCCTTTCCTTATTCCACTGAAAAAGATGAGGAATTACAAACTGGACTGCTGTTATTATGAAAATTGGCTATGCAGGTTAGGCATCCTCCTTAGAACAGTGTCCTGAAGATACTATTAATAGGTCTCTAAACTGGCCAAGGATAATGCTTTTTTTTGTTGGTTTTGCAGGTCCCCTGACTGACCAGTCTCGCACCTGGAGAACCCCAGGAGGACTGACTAATTCCTCAGCACCAGCAACACCAGTGGATTTCAGTGAACAGCCACTTCCTGGGATTGAGAGCCGAACTGAAAAGGAAGCACCATCTCCCTCTACAACCAGTAATCTGGTGACAGAGGAGCCAGTTGTAGCTGTGAAGGACGAAGGCCCCATCCTGGGCTCACCTGATGGGAGACCAACAAGCCACACGGTCACAACAACAGCGAGAAGCCCCACTGCTCACTTCCCTTCTGTGGYTCATGTAACTCCTTCAGAAGCCTCAGCTGTGGTGCACGAGCTTGAACCTGAAATGCCCAGCTCTGCTGTGCCAGACACCAAGGATGTGCCCGAGCCCCGCTCTACTGCCCATCATGAGGGTGACATCGCTGCCACCCCCGCAGCGATAGCTCCGGAGGAGGTCGTTCCTACACGTGAGGAGGTTTCTGAAGATGGCTCTGGAGACCCGGTGAGGACCAATAGTTCTGACACCCTTTCCAGGGAGATGGCTTTAATAGCATGCAGGAGGCTGGTTTGGCAGGAAAGGGTGTTAATTTGTCAAAAACAATGATTGATTTGGTGGGTTATGTTGGTGGAAGGTTTTAGATGAGGCAAAAACAAGGAAAGTCTCCAAAAACAGACATGATGAGAAAYGTGAATAACCTGCCTTGTATGTCCCAACAGGGAGACTTCATCTTGACTAAGGACGAGGATTTGGYCCCCACGCAGAACTCAGAAGTACTGGCTGACTTTGAGAGGAATGCCAAAGCAGCAGGAGCCTCGGGAATTATGGACAGGAAAGAAGTCCTTGGAGGTACCAGACATTCTGGATTTCTCATTGGTGAAAGCAGATTCCTGGAGAAGCCTCCAGGCAGCAGAAGCTGCAGTTCTGCAAATACATCYCTGAGCATGGAAGCCAATGTTTTATGTTAGACCTCTGAAATGAGGGTGATGATTTTSTGTTCAAAACCCTAACGGGGCGAATATTAGTCTGGTAATAGCAGCTGCAGTGACTGCTTTATCTGCAACTTTGTCTAAACCTACTCCTTCACTACTCTGAAAAATTACAGTAAGATTTCTSTGCTGCCTCAGTCAAATTCCCAGGGTTGAACACCATAGCCTTGTGTGCTTTGCAGCATGGCCCAGTGGGATGTCTGTGTCCCTGGGACTGGCTGGTGTATTTGAGCAATGGCAGGGGCACTGSTTTGGGAGGGGGCAAAGGGCAAATTAATTCCTTTGGGAACAGATGAGGAATAGTCTGGAATTTAAAATCATAGTATGGTATGGCATCTGGAGTAATCTGTGTCTTTTTCTTCCTTTCCAGGTGTTATTGCTGGAGGACTTGTAGGCTTGGTGTTTGCTGTGTTTCTAGTTGCATTTATGCTGTACAGAATGAAGAAAAAAGATGAAGGCAGCTATTCACTGGATGAACCAAAACAGTCTAACGGAGGATACCAAAAACCACACAAACAAGAGGAATTCTATGCATAAACACTGATCTTCAGGACACTTCTTATTCCATCTTTCTTGGACTCTTCTCTCCCTGCACGTGGACCTCCTAGTGTGCTTTGCATTAAACTTAAGCCATATGATCATTGGGTTATTTGCCCTTACCACTTTGCCATTGGAAATTTTATAACTACAAAATAGATCTGGATTCATTGAACATTCCCTGCTTTCTTGCACAACTTTTTTTTTTTATTATTATTATTTTTTTTAACAGAAGTGGGACTGCAAGTTCCTAAACTCACTTTGGTTTATCTAAAGACTGCTGGGACGGGCGGTGGGGAGAAGATAAGGGAGCACTGTATGTGTAAAACTCTTTGATATTTAGGGAAAGGGCTAGCAAGAATAAACAATTACCAGTGCTCAAATTCTGTATAGCAGGGATCCTTCCTATTTAACYCATAGATATGTTTTGAGTGTAACAAGTGGCTGTTCTGGGCAGACATTTGGKACACTGCAGTCCTCTAGCTCTTTCTGACAGCTGTATTTGGAGCACTTAATGCCTATGAAACATCAACCTGAACTTGATTTCTAGYGAAAGGAGGTGTGAGGGGCAGGGCAAAAAATGATGTCATGTGGTTTGAAATAACTTATATTTTGGAAGCATTATCCCATACTCAGAACCAGCTCCCGAGCAGTTGGTAAATACATTAGCACAAAACAAACCCCAAGAATCCCAAAACTAAGTGGAGAGTTAATCTTACCGATAGAGTTGGACTATCTAACTACTCTCTCTCTCTCTCTTGCAAGGCTTAGGTAAGAAGCAGATTTTTCCAAGCAGTCTCATCTCAGCCATTCCCTTTCCCAGGCACTGAGTGGAGGCTGGGCTGTCCTGCTGTAGGTGACCTTAGCCCGTGCTCCTGTGTGATGCAGGGTGACGGGGGCGCGTTGTAGCACCTCTGCTCACTGTGGCTGTGTGGAACATGCTCTGCCCTCTGTGCCACAGGGTGCCTGGGCACACWGGGCTGGGAGGGGGCGAGCAGCATGTCAGCAATGCAGCTAAGGAGTAGAGAAGCATCTGAAAAGARCCTGGGGAAGGCTGAGTGTAGGTGGCCTTAAACAGACACAGCAGTTGGTGTGCTTGACTCTCGCCACTCCAGAGCGGCTCCTCAGAAGCTCTTCCTGCACTTTGGAGAGAAGCCACTCCAGGGATGTCACACCAGTAAGGGCCAAAAAGCATCTCCTGAGCAAAGTGTGGGTGCCTGAAGCTGTGTGTGGTCAGTGTGCTGTCAGATGTCAGGCACTGATGCCTCCTTGGGGGTCTGGAGTTCTCCAGAGTATCTCAGACCGAGGGAACACAAATGTGGTGTTCTGTACAAGCCTTACTTCTGCTCTGCCTTTGGGTCGCTTCTTGCCACTTCAGTTCCTCGTCACTCAGTGCAGAAGGTATGGGGTGGGTGGAGGAGTGTTTACAACTGATGTAAATATTTGTGCTGTTGAGCCAGAGGGAATGATTGGAGTATATTGGATTATATTGCAACAGTTGGTACAAATGTTGCATGTTAACAGTCAAACTTAAAAACCTGTGTAATTTAAATGAAGAATAAAACACTCCTGAGCTGCCATGCAGCTAAAATTGGTGCCTTCTCTGCAAACACAAGGAAAAAAACCCAAAATGTCTTGATTCCATACTCTTCTTCATGCACATGGAGAACTTGTGCATATGTGTAGCTATCTGGTTTTTTTAAGTAAAACTGCAACGACCATTATGTTTTTTTTGTTAGGGATGTTTTGTTTTCAGTTGTTTTTTTTGTTTTGGGTTTT